AATTGTACTGTGCGCAATTGAAGGCTTCTCGCGGATAGAGTCGACTATCGCTCCCGCTGCCACTCGCCCCCTGGCGAGGGCCTCCCTCCAATCGCGGCCCCCGGCTGTCACGAGCGTGTCATCCGCGTAGCAGACGACGTGACAGTCGGGGGAGAGGGGAACACGCAGCACCGAGTCGTACCCCAGGTTCCACAAGAACGGTCCGAGAACCGATCCCTGGGGCACTCCCCGGTGCAATCTCTCCCGTCGGCGCCTGCCGCCTTGGTCGATGTACTCGACCCACCTGTCCCTCAGGTAGTCGCTCACGACGCGGGCGAAATATGACGGAACCTCGCGGCGTCGGAGCGACTCCCTGATTCGTCCCCAGGGGAGGGTGTTGAAGGCGTTGGAAATATCTAATGATACTGCCAACATCACCCCCCCCCCCTGGGACGTCGCCTCTTCAGAGAGGGCCTGGACACGCTTGATCGCGTCCATCGTGGACAGGCCCTCCCTGAACCTATATTGGGCCCCGCTGATGTCGGGGCCCACTTGGGACAGGTGCTGGACAAGGCGGTTTACGAGCACTCGCTCGAACAACTTACCGACCTCGTCCAGAAGGCATATTGGCCTATACGCCGACGGGAGAGAGGCGTCTTTCCCCTCCTTCGGGAGGAGTACCAGCGTGGCACTCCTCCACCGCGGGGGGAAGACTCCTCTCCTCAGGCACGCGCTGTTCAGGCGCGCGTATTCCTCCGCGAGGACGTTCATTGCCTGGGCGTGCATCCGCTTGTGGAGGCCGTCAGGGCCCGGGGCTGTGTTGCCCTTGAGGCCCTTAGCGACGGCTCTCCGGAGTTCCTCCGGCTGGACGTCCAGGGAATCGTCCCAGTCGGGGGAGTCTTCCCCCGGCTCGAAGGGTGGGCCTCCGTCCTCCCCGGTAATATCGGGGAAGAGGGCCTGTATCACCCTCCGGACGAAACCCTCGTCCAGCCGCTCCGTCAGCGGGGGCGCCCATGGTCTCAGCTTGTTGAGTACCATTTTATATGGACGCCCCCACGGATCCTCCTGAAGGGAGTCGAGGAACTCCGTCCACGCCCTGCCCTTTGCCACCCTGATGGCCTTCCTGAGGGCCACTTTGGCCTCAAAGTAGTCCTCTCTAGCTCGTTCGGCCGCCTGCTCGCCTCTGCGCCTGCAGCGGGCGAGTCTCCTCTGCTGGTGGACGGCTTGTCGTCGCAAATCTGCGATCTCTGCCGTCCACCAGTAGACGGCCCGCTGAGGCCGAGTCTTGGACCGGGGCATCGCGGCATTACATGCCGCTGTAAGCGTTGTCCCGATCCACTCGGCCTCTTGCAGGGGGTCCGTCTCCCGGGTCTCGGGGAAACTTCCCCGGACCCAACAGGCGACCTCTATCGAGGCCATCAGGGCGTCCTCGCGGAGTTTCCGCAGGGCCCATCGCGGTCGCGTCTCTTGGCGACGCACGGAGGAGAGGGCACCGAACTCCACCGATATATATTATCGGTGGTCCGACAGAGTTTCGATGCCCTTCTCCACCCTCCACCTGGTAATCAAGCGCACGGCCGAGGGGGTAGCCCATGTGATATCCACAATGGACTCCCCCTGCGTCCGCACGCAGGTGGGGGTCCGGCCCTCGTTCACGAGGACCAGTCCGTGCATCGCCGCCCATCTCGCCAGCGCCTTGCCCCTTCCGTTCGTGCGTCGGGAACCCCAATCCGTATGCTACGCATTGAAGTCCCCAGCCACGAGGACCGGCCTCGGACTCAGGCGTATGAGCGTCTGTCCAATGTCGGAAAGCCAGCCCTCAAAGGGGCGGAGGCGTCTGTTGGGCCTTAAATAGGCCCCAACGACCGCGATGCGGCCCCATTGCACAGCGACGTGCCGATCGCCTCTCTCGATGGCGGTCGTGTGTGGCCCTCCGGGCTCCGACCGCCATCGGATCGCCACCGAGCCCCTCTCCCGCCCGACAGCCCAGTATGGGCTGTTTTCCGGGGCGCGGTGAGGCTCGGAGACGATCGCCAACGTGAACCCCCTCTCCGTCATGCTTTGTTGAAGCAGATCTTGTGCATGCGGAGAGTGGTTCACGTTGGCCTGCAGTAGGCCATATCCTTTTCGATTCGGACGAGGGGGAGGGTGAGGCATTACTTAGTCTCATTATCCCCCCCGTCCGATAGGGCCTCAACCTCCATGGCCTCTGGTGGAAGTGAGGCCTTCTCTCCTGGCGCCCCGCGAGGTTGGCGCTGCGATTGGGGCTCCTGCGTCGAGCCGCACGCTTCCTCCCTCCTCTCCTCCGCCGGCCGCGCTTC